AGGGAGTGAATATTTAGGCCCCTCTAATGGTTTTAAATTCCTGCTATGGATTACACACCAGTGTCAGTCTAACTCTAATTTGGAATCAGTTTGGCCCCAACACGCCTCTTTAACATGTGCACACACTGGCACTTTGCCTTCAATACTCCCGACATATATGTGTTGGTACCTGGTTAAGCTTCACAGTGCAGTTCAGGTGTCTCAGTTACTTTAAGTCTAATTATAGACAGTTGGGGATAATTGTAACTGTGTGTGTGTGTGTTTGCATGTGTGCATTCAAGTATCCTCTAGAGATTTAAACAAGCCTTCATTTACATTGTAACACAATTGGAGGCTTAGAGTGAGATTTAGAGCTTAGTTGCGGACAAAAAGAGCTCTCGCTACTGATAGGCTACATTGAGTTGGACTTTTCTGCTTACACGTGAAGAGCAACAAATAGGAAAAGAATCAGCTAGCACAGTAAGCAAACATCAACAAATCATTACCTAAGTTATATTAAAGTCAGGGAGCTTCCTCTGAGTACAACATCACCATCAGTTATATTAAAATGAATGCTTTTCAAAGTGACTCTGAACTTCTCAGGCTTGCCACAATGTTCTTTATTGCAGAAAAAAAGAGTTCCAGATATTTGGCTGTTTGAATTGTTTTTCTACATTAAATGTTATCGCAAATATCTTTGCTGCTCACCCGTTTTAACAAATGTTTCTCTCTCTATGTATGCATTTCAGCTCTTCACCCAGAGCAGGAGAGACCGGTAATTCTTCAGTGTCGGGCCAATCCAAGCCCAATGGACAGACTCATAAGATCTGTTTGGTGTGTTCAGACGAGGCCTCAGGGTGCCATTACGGGGTTGTTACCTGTGGCAGCTGCAAGGTGTTCTTCAAGAGAGCCGTCGAAGGTTAGTCTCACACACCTACCTACCTGCATTAACTCACACACTCAGACATGACACATGGAAATACTCTAATTTGAATGATAATATTTACACCAATCTAAGTTTGTGAACAGCTGTATAAATTATGAAAAACTATTGTCATTCCAACTTTTGTTTTGAATGGAGTGGCCACATTTACACCAGGCTGTAATCAGATTTGCATTTTCATGATTGTGTATTCTACAGTCCCGAATGTGTATCTTATTGCAATGTTCAGCATCCATTACCGTTATACATATTGTCCCAAGGACTTTCATTCATTTGAGTTATACTGTATATAATCAACTCTTAAAGCTGTTGCTCAGCAATGCAAAGTCTCTGCTGTTTCTCTGCTGCAAAACAGTTAATAACTCTATAAAATTGAAAGTTCAGAGTGGAATAGGGGGGTGGTAGTTGTTGAGCTTTCGCAGACCCACATCATGTTCATGCCTGTATGTGGGTCTGAGTCTTGGTTCTGACCTTGCATGTATCTGCCTCTTGTAACCTTTCCTTTGAGTCCGGTATCAAAGCAGGGTTGACTTCCAAGTGATTTTAATTTAATAACATAACATGAGAAAGAAGCCTATTTAAACATTTTACTTTAATGATTCAATTAAGCCTTATGGAGGAATAGTATTATAATGGCCTTGTAAGACAGCCATTCTCCTGCTTTGTTCGCCAACATTAAATATTTTGGTTCTTGTCTCAGGCAGTTTGTGAATCCAGACGCTTGTCTTGAATCTAATTCCCTTGATAAAATCCTGAGCAGGGAGGGGCAGGAATGCAGCTGACAAACAGAAAGTAATTCATGTTTAAGTGTGTCTGCAATGCATTCCATATCCCTCTACTTCTCTCTGCTTCTGTTTCTCCATTTCCTGTCTTTTTAATGAAACCTAGAGCTGTGTCATTCATTTGAAATGTCTATGTGAACCGTAAATGAACCACCCTTTATCTATTCTGGACCCAGAACTTATTATTAAATGCAGAAATGAGCCACTCTAGTTCAAATTAGCAGACAGCCTTGTCCTTTTCTTTCATTCTGTGCATATATTCATTATCTTTATCTTTATTTGTCAGTTTCCTATACATCTCTCCCTAACACTGCTACTGAAATAATTGTAAATGATTATATTATTCCTAATGTAAGGCGATGGAGTTATAAAATAATTCTGCACTCAGCTCAGGACCAAAACTTGAACGGGAGTTGATGGAAAGTTTGAATAGCTGTATAAACAATGGCACAGGAATTGTAGTGCAAGAGTAACACTTGATTTGAGCTGGAAAATTTGCTTAATTTGTTGTGTTGTTTGATTGTGACCCTTATCCACTTTTTATTATGTAGTGCTGGTGTAAATGCCCAGCGCTCAAACAGTTTTAAATTTCATCTTTGCAAAGGGCTGCCTACAGTAGCGCTGAGAAAGTTCATCTGTGATTTTTGTTTTTCTCCCCCCTTTCCATTCTCCGGTCGTCGTCTCTATGGTGAAGGATGGAGAGCACGACAAAACACAGATGGTAAATAAATGCTTGTAATAATCTACAAATAAATAATAAATACAATGTTGATGACTATGCTGATTATGATAATGATGGTAATACTATTACCGTTGATTGCTCATGTCCCTGTATTATGTTAGCACTGAAATATGACCAATCTGCCTGGAAACATGCATAGCCTCTTCTGCCAGCTATCTGCTAATGCATGCAAATGTTCTGTAATATAACTCGGCACAAATCTTCTGAGAGTGATTTTGTGCTCTTCAATCTCTGCTTGGAATAGTCCAACTCATCATCATCACCACAGGTGGCAGATCACATCATTGCAATCACACCCTGTCTCCAATGTGGCCTATTCTTTTGCACTTGACCCAAATTTACCTCCTGAGATGTGATGGTGATATAAATACTACAATCGTAGAAAAATGGTTTTAAAGCAATGGTTTTCAAGGTAATTTACTAACCAAAATTCCTACATTTCTAAAAGTCTCTGATGAATGGTCGAATGTGCTTGAATTGTGCACAATTAACAATTTTTTGGTTAAAGTGGTTTAAAAGTTCTTGAATTATTGAATAGTGAACTCTGCAGTTCATTCGGGTGAATCAACAAAAGTGACTTTCACATGTTATCTGATTGGTCAATAAATAGGACATATGCTGGTTATAAATCCCTCTTATTTACAGACAGTCTGATTTAGTAACTAGATAAAATTGCTGAACTTTAAGAAACTGGTCAGGTTTAAACTTTGCACCAAGGGAGCAACCACTCTATGCTATTGTTGGCTACAAACCAAGCCAGAGCAATCACCAAGCGTTTCTGACGGCCCTGTTAGCAGATCAGGCTGGATAAGGGAGCGAGGACACGGGTGTGAATCAGCTGGTCCTTTTGACACCACAGATGGCTGTTCACACCATTGTTTGCATAAACTTCCTGTGACTTCAGTGATGGCTGCAACTGGCCGCCCCCAGGCTGCTATCTTCTATCACCAGCAACTGCAGATAGATTCCCCTTGTATGTGAAATAGGATAAGTTGTAGATTTCAAAGGTGACTACTTCTGCGATTTTCATAACTAGAGAAAAAACATTATTTATATTGGCCGTTAATTATGAAACAACACTGCTTTGTTACAGTAGAGCGTACAGTACAGACACCTGGTTGCTTGGTTTTGATTACAGAATGTATCTAGTCCCATTCTCCCATATTTTAACATGTTTTCAAAACACTTTTTATAAGCATAATTTCCAGGGTTTAATATGCATTTGGTTTTTGCCTAAGGTTGTTATGATGACACACACACACAGTGTTGTTGTTGACAACCTCAGGCTTTGTGAACATAGCAGGTCACTATGGCTTGACATTATTGTAGCTACACTGCAGGGATTCACTAAAGTACAGATCTTTATCTGAGTTTAGCATTAAAAACACCTTACACTCTGAATACAATTAATGTCAACATCTACAAGAAAATAATGTTATGTAATGTTTACGCGTTATGGCTGCGCAGCGGTTTTGGTCCGGCCTCCTCCGGCGTCATACCCTACCGGGGGCGTTTCAGGAGCGTTTCAGAAGCGGAGCGTCTTGCCTGCCGGCTTGCAGTTTTTGTTGATTTGGGCATATTTCCTGGACAGGCTACTTTGTACAGACAAAGTTAATAATAATTGTAATATCCCAGTTATAAACGACATGAATCCAAATGTGTTGCTGTATTTTAGTGGTAAAAGAATGCATTCATCATCATAATTATTCTATATATATAATTTACACAGTGCCTGTAAACTGGAGGAGAACGCTGGCATTTATCCTCCTACTTGAAAGACTACGGAGGGATAGGGTCTGCTAATTAGTTTATTTTGGGGATGGACCGGATGCTCTGACCGGTCCACTTCCTGCTCGGCGCCTCTGCAACTCCTCGCGTCGAAAAATAGACTTCAATCCTATTTTGAGCGGAGCCCAGCGGCAAGACGCTTCTGGGACGCCGTAACGCGGCGCGTCTGGTGGAATAGCACCCATTGACTAGTGTGGCCGCGATCCTGGCGGACAACGCGGCGCGGCCGTAACGTGGCCGGAACGCGACGCAGACGGACCCGGTGGAATCTAGGGGTAACTGTCGGAGAGCTGTTGACAGGAGAGAGAGGCAGGGGAAGGAGTGGAGCAGTGTGTTGTTGTTCTGTAGGTTTTTATAGAACTGCTGACTAGGCATGGGTCAAATCTGGTGTCTCATTTGAATCCAGGTCATTGAATTCTGCATCTAGTCCAGTTAAAATAAACATAAACAAGTCAACGATTGTGTTAATACGTCATCAGACAGTATAGTGATGATTGAAGGGGAAATCTACAATTATGTTTTCCTTCACCAATATTAAGTATTTCAAAATTATCATATTGCTTCCGCTAAAAACAATACGTTTTCTTTTGAAAAAAGTCTTTGATTAAACTTGTTTCTTTTTTTATTTCTATTACGCCTCTTGTACCACTTTGGGATTGCTTTTAGCAATGAAAAGTGCTTTCAAATGTATTATTATTATTAAGTCAACCAATCCAAATCGAGTATCCAACAAAGCCGTGCAATAATTGTCTTTAATAACTGAAAGAAAACCATACAATGTTTTTATTCAGGTTGAAAACATCCAGCCAGGATATTCCAAAGTGAACTACGTGTTTCTAACTAAGGTCAGTACCAGAAGCTTGGAGATGAATGTTTCATTGTCTTGTTTTGAGACTACACTGAGACTAAACCATGCGTTTCTTTTCTTTGACAGTGCTACAAAGACCTGGGTCAGAGAGAAAAGGCCAGGAAGATGTGTGAAGCTGCGTGTTCCATGAATGCTGTGTCTAAAGAGGTATACACACACTTGAATCATGTATAAAGGGTCCAGTTACTTGTTTTTTTAAAGTTTGGTCTATTACTGTTTTCTGATTTATTCTATACATTTTATTTATTTTGTATTCTTTAGAGATACTCCATAGACATACAGTATATCTTCCTACTGTTTATATTTATATAATATTAATTTAAATTCTTTGTTTCATTATATTTGAACTCATGTGCAATGCTTTAACATGCCGCTGTAACAAAACAATTTGGGTGTTGGATCAATTAACTATTTGTAATATAATCTCAGCTTCATCATTATTTTGAAAGTCTATTTATATCCATCTCACAGTCTGCAAGATAATAAACTGTTTAAGATGTTATTCTTATATTGATCACATTTCTATCCCTCAGGATGAAGATTCCCAGAAGGAGCTGGACTTGCTCGGCCCCGCGCTCGGGATGTGACCACAGCGTGCTCATGCTCCTGGGTGGGTGTGTGTGTGTGTGTGTGTGTGTGTGTGTGTGTGTGTGTGTGTGTGTGTGTGTGTGTGTGTGTGTGTGTGTGTGTGTGTGTGTGTGTGTGTGTGTGTGTGTGTGTGTGTGTGTGTGTGTGTGTGTGTGTGTGTGTGTGTGTGTGGGGGAAAAGGCCGTCATGTTAATTCACTCTGTGAGTGGAGGGAAATCATCAATGGGAACTGTCCTGTAGAGTTTTAAAACCAAGTCTGTGTACACTTTGTAACGCATTATAATGTACTTATAGTGCGGGGTGATTTGAGTTAAAACCACTCATAAATAATCATTTTGCTTTCAATCATAACACATTATAAAGCATTTTATAATTACTTAATAATATATACTTCATAACTTCAGATCTATTTTTTGTATTTGTTGCAAGTGTATTATATGTCCCATAACTTCAGAAGGTTATTATATATTATAATCACTTTCAAAGTAGTCATTGTTTGCTTTCAGTAAAGAAACATCAATCATTCTATGCAAGGACACAATACTTTAAATTATATTTTACTTGATTAAAACAAACAATGACCACTTAGAGTAAATTATTATAATACATTCAAACCAAAACACTGATTTTGATAATTTATTGCAACTAAGGGAACTTGCTCTATAATGTGTTATGATTACTGGCCTTATAAATATTTACGAGTGCTTGTAGCGATAATTATTTGGAGATTATTCAGCTTTATAAGTGTTTATAAAGTAATATAGACTTCATAGAAAGTGTTACCAAGATTTTGATTCTAATCTTTTATTATTTTTTAATAGTGGAAAAGGAGGAACTCTCACTTGGTTGTACTAAATCAGTGAGACAAAAGCTCTTCCATAGCTCGGATAATCAAGCCGTGTTTTAAAGTACATTTTAATCATTAGCATTGTATCAGAAATGGGTTTAATCACACGTGTAGTGAAGTCTGTGATTGTGGGTTTATAATTATAAATATATATTCAGTGGATCTGTGTGTACTCAAGCTCAAGGACACTACGTTTCCTTGGCAACAAAGATCTGTTGCTTTTTAGGAAGTGACGAGAGGGACTCGCTGTTCCTTCCTGTTCTGTCTTGTTTTGTTTGTTTGTTGTTTCTCCCACCTCACATTCAAGAGGCAATAACAAAAGCACCTCAGACAATGGCTCACCCAAAGAAAGATGTTGGAATGCTGTGACCCCTGGACGACCCCTGCCCTCTCCCCTCACATTGCACAGTGATTCTATCCAGCAGTCTGCACAGGGTTATGTTCTTTATTTGTTTACTTTGGCATCTGGTCATAGAATACATGTATTATTCAGATACCACCTGATACTCAGCTCTAATAGAGTGGTGCAGAAATGAGTCCGTGTTTTTGGTTAAATGCCTCGGATGAAAGATTTTTGTCCATGTCTAGATCTTCATTTGGTTTGATATGGACCAAAACGTAACTCTGTCTTGGCCCCATTTGTCCTGCTTAGGATTGATTGTGTTAACTATCTTCTGCCCTAAAAGGAATGAGTCACAAAACCCAGGAATGAGTTAGCATTTCCCCTGTCTCTAATTCAATGGTCTGTGGTTAACACAAGCTGAAAAGATGTTCACGTTTGGTTCTACGACATCAAATATGTCAGTAAATACCCCTCATGTGAATGTCCGAAAGCTTCTGTGTTTCTTCAAAACAGGAGTTGCTAACAAGTGAGAGTACTAAACATCATCACACTGTGATTTGATTATAGCTGCTAGCATACGGTGATCTAATTACTTCTGAGCCTATCAGAGGACATGATGTGGTGTACATACTGTGAACTGCATTCCAGACGTCATTTGAATGATTTCACACTTGTGATACGTGTGATGCATTTTGATTGAGGTTTACTCTTGAGACTCTAGAATTTAAATGGTGTTACTTGAATTGTGAAAATGACCTAAAATAATTATTTTTGTCTGTCATGTTTTTTTTCTACCAGCGCTACGAATGTAGGCGATTGATTTTCTTCGAATGCCAAAGCAAGTAGACTTATTGGGAGATATAAACACTACATAGAGATTATACTCCAGTGTCTGAATGATGAATGGTTCTGTTCTCTCTAATTAAATCTGTGCAATCCTGATTCGAGGTGTCAGTTTGTCACTCGTTTGTGTGCTCGTTACTTTTATTGCACATCAGAAACACCCAGTGGCAAACATTTGGAACTTATGACTCAAATGTTTCGTGATTCCTTGGCCGTGAACTATATTGACCCTAATCCAAAAACGGATTCAACAAGCCGGCTCCTGTATAACTATTAATGATGTGGAGCTCTTCCCTTTCCCCAGACTGTACATTTTGTGCCAGAGCAATTGTGAATCTGTTACTGGATCAGATTTAGGCCACCTGTCTGGTCATGTTTCAGCCTTTCTCCCTCCATGGTCCAACCGCTCTTAACAGCACAGGTGTTTTGTTTATACAGTCATCAAATATTTTATAAGCCTACTATTGCACTTAACTTAAAAGCCTCCATTGGAACAGCTCCAGAATTAACTTACAACTTTTTTTACCCTTAAACACGAAAGGACACTTTGGATGTTTTATATGTTTTCACAGGCATACAGCATGAGTCTGAGATTACATCTAATCTTGTTGTCTGACTTCCTAAACGACAGGACCCAATGTTGCATACGAATTCAGAAGCTGTGGTTTATACATTTTCTTTTCTCGAGGTCCAATCCGCAAGTTCATCATCTACACTTTTCCTGGACCTTTCCTGAATTACTTTTCCAGTTCCTTGTACGGTGGCCGACAGATGCAAACGCGCTACAATGACCTTAAACATTTCCATTTGGAGAAACTCGCTTCAGAAAGGATGCAAACATAAAAACACAAATGTGCCAATGCAAATGAAGAAACATCTTCACCAACTTGACAAAACATGCGCAGGGTTAACTCAAAGAGCTGCATAAACAAAACGCTGCAAATAAAATAAAAGAGAATTTGGTGGATTCCCCCCTTCGGACAATGTTCAGCAAAGCCCCAGATGTTCCTGTGCTGTGAGGTTCTCCATGTTAGGTATGGTAGGTTCTACACCCCCTGATCTGCGGTTAAGATCTCGGTAGCAGCCATTTCAAATTGCATATATTAAACAATGTTTACGATCTCAAATCCTGTTGTGAGAGGTGGAACCCGAGGACTGTCCACACGAGAATAACCAAACTTAAATTCATCATTAGTGATATCTCCCGATTTTCAACATCTGTTAAGAATTGTTTTTGTGTGTGGGCCATTGTTAAGTGAATTTGAAAGTCAACCAAGTTAAACTAAGCTAAATGTGTCCAGCCTTTATGCTAAGCTATGCTAAACGTTTGCTGATTGCAGCGTTATTACATTAGGGGGGTATCACTCCTCTAGCTTTCCAACAGCAATTCCACCACAAAAAGAATGCACTGAATCAAATTAGCACAAACTAATTGCTGCCGTGAACCGTGAGCCTTTTTGGCAACAGTGGAGGACAATCTCACATCCTTTATTTAAAGTACTAATACTCTCAAAATACTCTGCTTGAAGTAAAAGTATGCAGGTATAATCATAAAAATGGTTCCTGTGAGTGTTAGACTACAATATATAACTAGAGAATGCAATTCCTGAAGAAATTGCTAGTGGGAATGCTTTATGCTGAAAATCTGATGCTAAACTGCTATGTTNCTATATTTCTGATTGGCTGGGCGGATTGCAAACCACGCCCCGTAAAACTCATAATGCTAATGCAAGGATAATAAAATGGTGGCTTCACAACACTTTTTTGGAGTTTTACGGGGCGTGGTTTGCAATCCGCCCAGCCAATCAGAAATATAGCTCTTTTCTCACAAGAGAGCCGCATGAGAGTCCCTGCTCTCTAGCAGGGACGGAAAAGGGGGTCAAAAGGTTCTCATCAACTAATTTTAGTTCCGGCTCTTTTTGGTGTGAACGCGACATTTCGGAACTATATCGGAACTAAAGTGGGAAAAGTACTCCGGTGTGAACGCGGCTAATATGGCGGACCCTCCGCGTGAACGCGCAAATGGAGGGGTAGGGTGTGAAATTCTGAGGATGCTTTGTTCTTTGAGCCTAACAAATAGAGAGTTCAGACGGATTGTATTTTAGTTTCTAGGGCTGCCCCCGACCAAAGATTTTCCTGGTCGACCACTGATCGACCAGTGGCGCGAATGAAAGCGCACGCAGAGACAAACCGCCTTTTTCGTGCAACCGGCAAGTAATTAAATTATGATTCTGAATGTGTTGGAAAAATCAACAAGGAGACTGTCTTAACATTTTGTTAATTTATTTCAACACAACACACCATATAAAAACATCACACAACTTATGAACTTTTAAAACCAACACAATAACTTTATAAAACAAACAAAAAACAGTCTTCTGTTAAAAAACTAAATTTAAACTATATTTTTCGTTTCTTTTAAACATGTAAAATAAATATAAATTATATAAACAAACGAATAAATAAATATAGGCTCAAGCCAACTTAAATATTTAAATATCAGTGCAAAAGTAANAAGAAAAACTTTGTGATTGCAGTTAGAAGAAACAGGCTTGTTATTAAACCCATTCTATACGGTACACAGAATAACAGCATTTTGGTTTATCCACCATTCTACCCACATAACTGACATTTGTGTATCTTTTCGCCACCTCTTTGCTTTTCTTGGTCCAGGTGGCAGGGGCATATTTTCCAGAACCTTTTTTGGGTGCCTACAGAGAGGATGCTCTCCTTGGCGTGGGTACAAGAAGCTAACGGGCTAGTCAACCCACCACCCCCAAGGAGGATCTGAGAAACATGACGCCCGGAGAGCTGCAGTCTTCCTGGGTCAAGAAGCCCTCCTGGATAAGTGTCATCTGTAGAGTAATGTCCTCAAAGACAATTCATTCTGCTGTTGAATTGAATTAATGTAATAGACCTAAAGAAGCCTCTTAAAGCCAATAGGGATATATTTACTTTGTCAATGTCGAAGTGTTTGTTTAAAATGATGTTCTTCTTGACGCGATTCCAGTGTGTTCCCCTAGTATACAAAATAGTGGCCGCGCGCGCCGC